ACAAGCTGGTATACAACAATTCTAAATTACCCAGTAAATAACAACTATATATTGACAAATATAGCTTTTAACATCAAAAAGTTTTTTATACAGATTAGGTTAAATAAAAATGGAATAATTATAAATGATAAATATATAGATTACACCCAATCTAAGTGTCCAAACTGTACCAAAAATTTATCTAAAATTTATATTATATGTGAATATTGTAATGAAAAGGATAAACTACAAAGGCTTCAGATTGGGCTGCTGGCTAACTGTACTAGTGAGATGGAAATGTATAAGACTTTTGATAGAGCTAATATTAACACGATTTATATGTTATATAACTATGTTAAACAAATAATTAAATGATAATTGTGACAAATTATTAATATAATTTTATAGATAGTAAATAGAATATATTGATGATGTTAAGAAATTAAAATATGAGATGTTAATATGCGTTTTTTAAAATAAAACGCTCTTGTAACAGGCAAAAGCCTTCTACATCAATAAAGATTATTATTATTACTATTACCATTCAGAGAAATCCTGATCATTGGGGATACAAAAAAAGGTAAAAAATGTTAATAAATACAAAATTAAGACAACATTTTGAATAACATAAACATCAAATCATTAGAAGCATTAATTAACAGAGGTTCAATTCAGTCTATTAAATAAAGAAATTTCAAAAAGTACACATTTCTTAATTAGCATCAATAATAACTTTACTAAAATAGTTTAATAATTGGATTATATTATATTAAACCTCTAGCAAATACTGAAACTCCAGTTTGAAAACAAAAATTTAATGCAAAACAAACATTTTTGATTTCCCTAACAACCATCATATGGTTACAGAAATATTCTGAATAAGAACATAAATTTGGAACAAACTAATCTAAAAAGTTGGTACAATATCTGATTGGCTAAAATTAAAACTGACTTCAAATAATGATGCCATGGTTTCAGAAGTGTGTTGTTATTCTTAAAATTGATTGATGTTCTCTTCCTGTAAGCCTTGTAAATTTCTAATTTTTCCAGATGTCAAAGTTGGTTTAGAATGAAAATCAACTCAGACAGTTCTATAAATGTTTAATCTTGAATTTTCAATAAATATTTAAAAATGAAAACTGTTAATACAGTTATTCCAGTAAATTTTGAAAACATTATTTTAATTAAAATGTTAAATGAAAATGTTTGATTAACATTTTAGAATTTATAAACAATTTTTATATAGCTAGCATTGGTTAATCTATTTGAATCGTTTTGAATTTCAAAAAAGTGGAAACTATATATTTTTATTATTGCAGGCATGAAACTCCTGTATTAGCTGCTTCATTAAAGATTATTTACAAATCAGATGATCTTATTGTTGTTGATAAACCACCATCTATTCCTGTAAGTTAATTACTTTTTAATAAATATTTATTTTGAAGAAGTATGCATGTATATATGCATTTTCATAAACTGCAGATATTTTTATGTAATTTGTAAAGTATTGTCTTTAGAAATTGAAGTTTTAGTAATGCATAAAAAGCTTTCTAATTATATGTTGAGTAAAAGTTTTTGCTTGCTACATATATTTGTTTACAATTTTTACATTTATGTTGTAAGAACAAAACAAAAATAAATATATTTAAATGAATAAAAGATTGTTCTTCACAATTAATGTATTCAAAAAAGTAATTCACCTTGAAAGATTAAACAAATTGTTCTCTTTTTACGTAATTAACTCTATTCTTTTTTCCCTGTTCCAATACCTAATAGAATCAGTGTAACTCTATTCTTTTTTCCCTGTTCCAATACCTAATAGAATCAGTGTAATTTTCTGACAATTATGTAACAATATTATTTCATATATTTATTAAAATTAGATGAATTTAAAAAGGAATGTATATATAAGCTTCTAGAAGCTTGATTTCTAAGCTATGAGAAAAAGTAAAGTTATTTAACTGTAATGAAATGTTAAATAACAACATTCCAGAACACAGTTCAAATCTAGAAGTTATTACCCCAGTTTACAGTATTTGTAATTATTAATTACAAATACTGTAAACAGGTTATTTTGTGACTGCAGTGGAAACTTTGTGACATTACATTAGAATGACTTATTTTGAATAGAGAGGTTGTGGCCAATGTTTTCAATGCAAAAACATGTATGTTGGACGTTCAGCACCGCTTTCCTAAAGGTCTAGAAGTTTGGCAATGGTGTTTGGGACGTCGAGCATGATTCCACTGACTATCCAAACACCATTGTCAAACTTCTAGGCTTATAGGAAAGCGGCGCTGAACGTCCAGCGTAAACGTTTTCGCGTTGAAAACGTCAGCCGCAACCTCTGTAATATGGCACATTTTTATTCATTTCAAAATCTGAGCATTGTATTCGAAAACATTTTGTCATAATCATTTTATAAGTTTATTTATGAAAAAAACAGGAATTAACTTTAGTAAGTACATTTTTAGTTTTTACCATATATATTTGATTTTTTTTCCTAAAAAATAGTGCATAATTCTGAGGAAAAAATTTTGCTTTCAAACCTTTATGAAGTTAGTTCATATAACTATACAGATTTAACTACTTATCTTTAAGCCAAATTCTACAAATTAAAATCAGACTAAAATTTAATCTATACTAATATTATAAAGAGGTAATGTTTGTATGTAAGTTTGTTTGCAGCAGGTAATCTCTGAAACTACTCATCTGATTTCAAAAATTTTTTCACCAATATTTAGAATGGAACTTCAGGGTGGACATAGGCTATATATTATTCCATTAAACATTCATATAAATTAAAAGATATAATCTAGGTTAAGGCTTTTATGTCCAACAGATGGCGCTACGAGTACGACGCCCTAAGTTTGCTTTTCTGTGAGGCATTACGCTTTTCTGTGAAAATGAACTAAAGCAGATCATCTTCTATCTATCTATATAAATAAAAATGTAATGTTCGTTTGTTCCTACCGATTCCTTTGAAATTTTGACACAACGCTGCATTCGAATACGCACGTGTTTTTATATAATATACGTGTCGAAATTCCCCCCACTGAAGGGAGATGGTTAGGATTAAGGCTTACCGTAAAGAACTCTGCTTCTATTTATACTATTTTAGATGCGGTTTTTTGCGTTTTTGATTGCGTTTTAATAGGGTACGTCAACAGAATGTACACTAAGAAGGGATTTTTCGATATTCCCCCCGGGGGGGAAGGGACAGGATTAAGGCTTACTGTGAAGAACTTCACTTCTATTATACTATTTTAGATGCGGTTTTTTGCGTTTTTGATTGCGTTTTAATAGAGTACGTCAACAGAATGTACACTAAGAAGGGATTTTTCGATATTCCCCCCGCGGGGAAGAGAGACAGGATTAAGGCTTACTGTGAAAAACTTGGCTTCTATTATACTATTTTAGATGCGGGTTTTTGCGTTTTTGATTGCATTTTAATAGGATACGTCAACAGAATGTACACTAAGAAGAGATTTTTCGATATTCCCCCCGCGGGGGAGAGAGACAGGATTAAGGCTTACTCTGAAAAACTTGGTTTCTATTATACTATTTTAAATGCGGGTTTTTGCGTTTTTGATTGCATTTTAATAGGGTACGTCAACAGAATGTACACTAACAAGAAATTTTTTGAAAAATTCCCCCCCACACACGGGGGAAGTGTTATAAATTTATAATAGATACATTTTGAGCCACAACAACGCATGGCGGGGTCTGCTAGTTAATTACAAATTAATTAAATTTTACTCTGCATATAATCTACTTTTCAGATAAGTTTGACTACTAAAATTGGATTTTGATTTATTATATGTTTGTGCCAAACATATTTGGTAACTATAGAAGCTTAATTAAATATTTTATTGAATATTATGTTTTGTTAAATGTAGACAATCAATTAAATTTAAAATCAAATTTATAAGAATGAAATTGAAAACTATATGTTTTACCATAAATTTAATTAAAAGAATTGTAATTTTAAATTCATAATGCAGTAACTTTAAATAGTAATTTAGATAAATATTTTTATAGAAATTTATTGTATTGATAAATATTAATTTTCAAATTTTTTTATTAAAAATAGGTACATCCATGTGGAAATTACAGACATAATTCTGTAACATTTATTCTTGGTAAAGAACATAATCTTCAGAATCTCCATAGTAAGTTTTTGCTCATTCTTGTTTGTTAAATCAGAATAAATACAAAATTATATTATTGATAAAATGTCTTATACAGTAGAATCTAGTTTTGCAGTCAGTCACTTAAGAGATTGTCTCTGTATAACAGACAGTTTTTGAAAGTACCAATGTTTCTTCCATTGACTTCAATGAAAATATTTGGCAGTTAAATGGTCAACTGCTTGACACATCCATTGGTCAGTGACTTGCACATTTCTTAAATTATATGATAATTTATTGATCAGTTAATATAAAGAGAAAATTTAAAATATTGAAAAACTGGATAATTTAGCATAACCACAGAAACAAAAGTGATTACAACCAGTTCTTATTTCTAATTATAAGAAGCTACCATAAATTAAAATTTAATGGTTAATTTTTACTGTTAAATTTTAATTTATGCTGGACATTTTTTTTTTTATTATTAATTTAAAATGAAATATAATTAAGTAATAAATCTATTTTATTTTAAAAATATTAATATGAATAAACTCTGAATATCAGTTCCAACATAAAATACAATAATATTAATAATACAGTGCAGGATAATAAGCCTGTTAAGAAACCAACAACAACAATAATCATAACTGAAAAAATATGAAATATACATAAAAGTTGCAGTGAATAGTTGACGAAAACTAAAATTCTAAAAAAAAATTTTTATATAAGAAATTAAATAATTAAAGTACCTGAAAAATTAAATGAATTGTTAATTACAATACTCTCAAAAGTGCTCAATCAAAAGCGCTGTTAACTCTCAATCACTGAAATGGCTACTAATACATTATATCCACACATCCTGATGGTTATAAATCTGGGGAGAAAAAAGAATATCTTAAATAGAGCAATTTCCATTAACTATTTAACTTAGTAATAAAATTATAAATACAGTTATATTTATTATAATCACATAACACTTGCTGAAGATTGAACCAACAAATAATCTATCCCAAAAACTGTTTTTCTATATTTAAATAGGTCACTGATCCCCATTTATTAAAAATATTCAAATACCACTTGTTATATTTGTAATTAGAAGTTCTATCTTTAGCAAATAATTATTTAAATGTATTCACTCTCATTAGAATATGAGAAACATCTGTTTCATATAACATAATCAGATGATCTCAATAGCCAAATTTTTGCAACAATGACACAATTTGATCTCCCCATATTACTCTTTGAGAAACCAAATATAATTTAGCAGAATCAGTAAGTTTATTAACTGACTTAAGTAACCATCTTATATTATTTAGTAACCACCTTATTATTTATTATATTAAAATAAAGATGCACCCTTTGGAACTCCAAGTATATAATGTACAATGGAATCTATCTTTTTAAAGAATACAGATGCTTAATAAAATTTATTTGTAAATTATCATCTTTCTTTCTCCAATCAAAGCCTCAAATCTTGGAATCATATAACACTACTGACTGTATAATGATTCAAATAATTTTAATTTATCTTCCAGCATAACAGTCTACCAGACACATATGCCTTAATTATCTTATCTATGCCAATATTAATTTTACTATGAATATACTTTAAATGCTTTAAGAAATGTCCATTGGACTGAAAAAATACATCTAAATACTTGTACTCATCAATAACTTCTATTCTACAATTCTGTATAAACCAATTATCATTTTTAAGATGTTTTCCTCCATTTTGGAATATCATTATTTTAGATTTATCAACATTAATGGAGAGTTGTAATGCCTGTATTGCATTTCCCAAAAATCAATCTTTCTCTGCAGACCTATAGGAGACATAACAACCAAATTGTCTTCATATATCAAAATTGTACAAAATTAAAGTTTAATCTTCTTCTTCTTCTTCAGCTTTTCCCACACTATGTAGGGTCGCTGTTTCTGATGAGTCATCTCCACTGCTCCCTGTCCTGGGCTGCCTCCACATTCAGATGCTTTTCTCTCAGGTCCTCCTCCACAAGATCCATCCACCTTTTCCGCGGCCGTCCCCGCCGCCTCCTCCCCCTCACTCTCATCTGCATAACCCTTCTTCCCACATACCCTTCTTCCCTCCGTACCACATGACCAAACCACTTCAACCTCGCTTCCTGTATCTTTGCTTCTATGTTCACAACTTTCACTGTCCCCCTCACACATTCATTTCGAATGTGATCCCGTCTCGTAACCCCACACATCCAACGGAGCATCCTCATCTCCGCCACCTCCATCCTTTTGACATGGGTTTTCCTTAAGCTCACAGTCTCAATAGCGTACAGCATAGCTGGTCTCACCACCATCCGATAAACTTTCCCTTTCAACCTAAGTGGCACCCTCTTATCACACAACACTCCTGACATATCCCTCCAATTCCGCCAACCAGCCTGAATCCTGCCTGTCACCTCCTTATCCACACTTCCATCCTCAGCCATAGTTGACCCCAGGTACTTAAAGGTATTGACTCTTCGGAATACGTCACCCCTCAACTCCAGATCACTCTCCCGGGCACCATCCTCCTCCCCACTACACATATACTCTGTTTTACTCCTGCTCACCCTCATGCCCCTCCCTTCCAACACACCCAACCACCTTTCCAATTTAACCCTCAGCTCCTCTTTTGTTTCGGCGCACAGAACGATATCATCTGCATACAACATGGTCCAAGGTGCCTCTTCTCTGACCTCGTCCGTGATCACCTCCATCAGTATGTTAAACAAAAAGGGGCTCAGTGCTGACCCTTGATGTAAACCAACTCTCACCCTGAAGCACCGGGACACTCCTACACAGCTCCTAACCTTTGTGGCCACATCCCTATACAGTTCATGGATCAATCTAACATACTTTTCAGGAACCATCTTTTCCCTTAGACACCTCCAGAGTTCTTGTCTAGGCACCGTGTCATAAGCTTTCTCCAGGTCAATGAATGCCATATGCAGCTGTTGTTGCTTCTCCCAGTATTTTTCCAACATTTGCCGAAGGGCAAAAATGGCATCGACTGTTGATCGTCCTGGCATGAATCCAAACTGCTCTCCTGAAATGGTCACCTCTTCTCTCAACCTTCCTTCCAAAACCCTTTCCAAAATCTTCATCGTGTGAGACATCAACTTTATTCCTCTGTAATTTTTACAATCTTGAACATCCCCTTTTCCTTTGTAGATAGGTACAAGTATACTTTCTCTCCATTCGTTAGGTATTTCTTCCTGCTCAAAGACTTTTTTGAATAGGTCCCATAACAGATCAATACCCTTCTTCCCCAATGACTTCCACACCTCTACAGGGATTCCATCCGGGCCCTCCGCTTTACCGTTCTTCATCCTCTTTAGGGCCCTTTCCACTTCTTCTCTAGTGACCATCTGTACCATGCCCATGTTTCGGCTTCCCTCCTCTCTGTTCATTCTTTCATTCTCTGTATTCAAAAGTCCTTCAAAGTATGCCCTCCATCCTTCTCTTATATCGTTCTCCCCTCGTAGGACCATCCCCGTCGTATCCTTGATCTGCCTTACATGCGAAATATCCTTTGTTGCCCTATTCCTGAGTTTGGCTAAACGATATATTTTCTTCTGTCCTTCCCTTGTATACAACTCCTCGTATAAATTCGCATATGCTCCTGCCTTTGCCTGTGCCACTACTCTCTTAGCTTCACGCTTTGCTGCTTTATACACTAATCTATCTTCCTCTGTACGTGACCTGTCCCACTTCCGTTTTGTCTCCTTTTTTGCCTTTACAGCTTGTTGCACATTTTTATTCCACCACCAACCTTCCTTTTGCACCCTAATCTTTCCAGATGTTACACCAAGCACCTCCTCTGCACAGTTCCTGATAGCATTGGCATTATATGACCACCAGTCCTGCACCCCTTCCCAATCTTGTGAGATTTGTAGCAACACCCTCTCTACATAATCCGCCCTCACCCTCTCCTCCCTCAAACGAAACCACTTAATTTTCTTCATCTGTGTATTTCCAGTTTCTCTATGCGTTCTCGACTTCATGTCTATGCACATCAACCAATGTTGCGCCGATACCTGATCTGTTGGTATAACCTTACAATTTATCACCTTTGCAAGGTGCTCTCGTCTAGTGAGGATATAGTCAATCTCTGAACTATTAGGCCCACTGGTAAAAGTTACCAGATGACTTTCCTTCTTGGTGAAAAACGAATTCACAATCACCAGGTCAAAAGCCACAGCAAAACCCATAATTCTCGCCCCTTCTTGATTTAGTTCCCCAACCCCATGGCCTCCATGAACCCTTTCATAGCCCACGTTCCGACCCCCTATGTGCCCATTGAGATCGCCTCCCACAATCACTCTCTCATCTCCTTCCAGTGTCCTCATTTCTTCATCCAATTCATTCCAAAAACAATCTTTCTCCACTGTTGCACACCCTACCTGGGGTGCGTACACACTAAACACCACAAGTAGATCATCTCCAAAACTCAGCCTCATTCGCATCATCCTATCACCTCTTCTGTACACCTCTAGTACCTTGCTCTTCCACTTCCCAGCCACCACTATTCCAACCCCATTTCTTCCATTCTTGTTTGCACTGCTATAAAATAATTTACATCCTTCTCCAAGTTCCTTCGCCTTGTCTCCCCTCCACCTCGTTTCCTGACGCACAGGACATCAATCCTCCTCCTCCTCATCATATCCACCACCTCCATTTCTCTTCCCGTCATACTTCCCACATTCAGTGTTCCCACTCTCAACTAGAGATGCCACGAATATTCGGCTACTATTCGGTATTCGGCCTATTCGGCTACTTTTTTTAATATTCGGTATTCGGCCGAATAGTATGCAACATTCGGCCGAATACCGAATACCAAATCATGAAAAAAAAACGCACATATTACTCAAAAATGTATTTATTTTAATCATAAATTANCAGCTTTAGGGCGATCTAGCTGCGCGTCGCTTACAGGGTACGCCCTATCTCTCTTTCTATCACAGCTTCTGAGACTCATCATGTAGTTTTGGCACGATGGTTTTACGGCCGGATGCCCTTCCTGACACCAACCCTCCTCCTTTACCCGGCCTTGGGACCGGCAACAGCCATTTTCAGGGCTGAAGGCGGAGTTACAAAATTAAAGTTTAATACAGAACTATATAAGTTATGTTGTTGTTTCAACTATTATATAATTAAGAACATACCATATTTCTACACATATAAGATCATGCTCTTATATTAATAGATGGGGAAAAATCCACACTATGTTGTGCAAAGTACTTAAACAAAATCACTATTTTTAAAATAACTTTTATAGTATTGGAAGCATCTTCTTATTTTTAAGAATTGTTAGTACAGAGATATCACGGAATGGTTATTGTATCTATACATTTATTTATGTTGTTATAGAAGAGCAGTCTTATAATCTGAAACAAGCCAGCACACAAAGCTGGCATTACATGTTATTTGTCAAGTGACAAATGTTTGCCTGATGATGTACTATTTGCCAAACTTTTTGTTAAATAAGCTCACATGTACAGTACACATATGCCTATTTATTGAATGTCTGGATTGTGATTCTGTACACAGCCAGGATGAATATTTGTCTATTTTGATGTGGGTAAAAAGACTGACTTTGAGTGGGAAACTGCAAACATTTAGGTATTCATTTGACTAATCCCAAACATTACCACAAACTACTCAGCCATACTACTATGTTTGTCAAATGGCAAACATTCATCATTTGGGATTTAGTAAATACTGTATGTGTAGCACTATCTTCAGGGCATACTCTTATAAGCAAAACAAAATGTATGTTTCAAAAATGCAAAATCCAGGCAATTTTCACTTATAAGAACATGCTCTTATTTACACAGAAATATAATGTAAGTTCCTGAAGTAAGGTTAAAATAGAAAGTGTTCTGTTTGAAATTTTTAGATATTATTTTTCCTATAGAAAATTCCTCATTTATGTTGACAAATTTATTAATTATGAAAAACGTATTGTGTAAATTAATATAATAAAACTTATAATAGTAAATATTGAATTCTGTTATTTCAAAACACTTAAATAAATCTAATTATCTTAAATTTTAGAAAAAGTTAAGCAAAATGTGACAGTTTAAATAAATAATGAAATTTTTGTAAAGTTTAAAAAAGAAAAATTAATTGCTCTCATAATTAAAAAGGTTACCTTTATTTAGAGGCCATTTTTGTGTGTCCCAAAGGTAGTCTTTTAAAGCAGTTTCCACTGTATATTCTGATATTATTTAATATAATGCATTTTGTTTTATAGCAATTCATAGAATAGATCGTTTAACTTCTGGATTGCTGATGTTTGGATTAAATCCAGAAATAGCTAAAAAATTTATGAATCAAATAAAAGAGAGGCAAGTGAAGAAAGAATATCTTTGTCGAGTAGAAGGAAATTTTTCAGAGTAAGTAAAAATTATTTGATAAATAATTTAATCTATTAAATGGTATGGTAATTCTTTTGGAAATTTTTCAAATTAAATCATTTAAAATGTTACAGAATGCAGCTTGTACTTAAAAGTAACAGTTTAAAGTTATATTATTAGTAATAATTAATAAAACCTTTTCTTCTGCACTCTAGTGTAAAAACTGGTTTATTATAGGTTGTCCCATCTCATAGTCCTTAGTCCATATGTGGTCTGATTGTGTTAGCTAATTGGCCCATGTTATTGTTGTTTCATAATTGCTATGTATATATTAGCCTTCTTTCTTAAGTGATTTTTAATAATTTACTATTGTGTATTCAATAGCAGTAGCATAAAATGGATGCATACGAGGTCTGTTCAAAAAATACACGGACTGTTTGAATTGCGCAGCTGCAGTTGGTTTCAAGGGAATCAGCTTGGTGTTGCTAGGTTTGTACAGATCACCTGGTGATAAAGCCATTTCCTGATTACAGATATCTTTATTTGTTGATTAGCTATGTGGTTTTTAGTGATGTGCAATTTTTTTGTTTGTCGAATTTCAGAATGAATGACCTAATGGAGCAACGACTTGCTGTGAAATTTTGTGTTAAACTTGGAAAATCTGCAACTGAAACATTTGCTATGCTCAACACGGCTTATGGTGCTGTTGCTATGAGGCGTATGGCATGTTTTAAGTGATTCCGCAGACCCAAAAAAGCTCACCAAGTTCAATCCAATGTCAAGGTGATGCTGACAGTTTTCTTTGATGCTAAGGGTTTTGTTCACCACGAGTACCTCCCCAAGGCTCCACAGTGAACCAGACTTACTATTGAAGTTCTGAAATGTCTGAGGGATGCAATCCGTCACAAAAGGCCAGAAATGTGGAGGAGTGGTGACTGGTTTCTCCATCACGACAATGCTCCAGCCCATCCAGCCCTAAGAACTTGTGAGTTTTTGGCCAAACACTCGATCACTATTTCTTCTCCACTCCCCTACTCACCTGACGCAAGGTCAGGTGAGTAGGGGAGTAGAGAAGAAATAGAAATCCCCAAACTGAAAAGACCCTTGAAAGGAAGAAGATTTGAGACGATTCCCAAGATTAAGGCAAATGCAATGAAGGCACTGAAGGGCATTACAAAAGAAGCATACCAGGACTGTTTCAGCAAGTGGAAACACTGTTGGGATAAGTGTGTGCATTGGGAAGGAGAGTACTTTGAAGGGGACCCAAACATGTAACTTCTACATAAAGTACATTTTGTTTTATGACATCAGTTTGCATATTTTTTGAACAGACCTCGTATGTTCCTAAACTCAATACTTTTTAGTGTTGAGTTTAGTGTTTTTATTAATAGCAGAAATTAATGGCCTACATTTCACAACATGAATATAAAAATCATTCTCATTTAGATTTATTATCGTTATTTTCTTTTTCCTAAATGCTAGTATAGTATATGTTCATTGGTATTTTTTTTTTTAGATTATTTCTAGAAAGTTTATAATATTTTTAAATCTGTTCATCAGTTATTTATCATCATCATCATCATGTTCTGTGAAGATTTTTTAATTCCATACTTAGTTAACTTTTTTTTGTATACTTTTATTCCATTTTTATAAGAATTTCAAAAGTTAAAAACTGCAGGTGCTCCCCTATTTATGAACATTCAACTTATGAATTTTTAGACTTACAATTTGACCATATGTCTAAAGTTTGAATTTCATGCAGATTCTGAAGTTATGTTGCTACTTGTGGAGTGGTATTGAAGTCAGTCTTTGACCAGTAATAAATAAAGTTTTAAAATAATGTGTGCTTATTTCTATTGTGTATTGTCATTTTTCATTTTTGTGCAAATTCTGAGATTTCATTGCTGCTTGTGAAATGGTGTTGAAGTTGATAACATTGGAGAAATGGCATTTTTTCACTGTTGTTTGCAATTTTTATAAACTTTTATGATTAGCACTTCAAAAATGTATCCAAAATATAATAGTCAATCTATCAGTGAAGATAAATGCAAGAAGTATCATTTTTTTTTTCATGGAAACTAAACTGAACATTATAAAACTAAATGCATTAGGTGGAAAACAACCACATTTGAAACACCTCTTTAATAAGAATTAACAAGCAGGTAAATGAGGGTAATGTATTCTATTAAGTATATTAAAGGATCAAACACTAACAATAAGTGATTATTCTGTGTATAAATGTACCGTCTTTGTTAGTTTTTTAATTATGAACATTTCAACTTACAACAAAACCTCAGGAACCTAACCTGTTTGTAAGTAGGGGAGCGCTGGAAACTAACCTTTAATCATTTTTTTGTTATTGTCCAAGTACTTTCAACTTTGTTGGGCTAATCTTTTTTCACCACAATCCTTAACTTTTTTATGGTTTAGAATTTTTTAAAAAAGTGAAATGATAGAACAGAAAATAACTTGAAAATGTATACATTAAATTCCTTGAGGGCATATTCATAAAAGAAGGGTTGCAACAAAATAAAGAAAGCCCCTGAAGATGAGTCTAATATGCATGAAAGTGTTTGAGCAATAAAGAGAATAAATGATTCACAGGTTAGCCTCCAAAAAATATTAGTTTAAGTATTGGCACATTTTATTTAATTTGGGAATGACTATAATTTAACAGTTTTGTTATGAAAATTATACACATTCTGAAGACATTTTCATTTTTCATATTTACTTTCTTCATTGGCAGTTTTCTTTATAACTTTTAATCTTTCATGCTTAGTTAATTTGTTTTTTTTAAATATATTTATAAAATTAAAACTTTTCTAAGCATTTTATTACAGATATATCCTGTATTTTTTCTTATTGAATCATCATTTTTTTTTTTGATTAATTTAAAATAAATGTGTGAAAATCAAATAGAATTTACTTCATCTGAAGTACATTTTAATTCTTCACTCTATTGTCTTGATAACTTGGCATCATAATTGTCTTAATCTAGATAACTTGACACAAAGAAAAAATAAATGTTTAGTTTATGATGACAAAATTTTTTTAAAACTTAAATGCACCATATCAGGATGAATTTATAAAAAGGGAGCGACTCACAATAACCAATTGGTTAATTGGTTATTGTAAATTGCTCCCTTTTAAAAAATTTTTTCTATTAAGAACTAAGCATTCATTTTCTCTTTGTATCAGGTTAATAATTGCCAAAAACTAAAAATAAGATGATGATAATTAAAAAGTTTACAAAATAGATTTCAGTTACTTGCATTTTCTGATAAAAATTTTTAAAAATAATTACATATGAAAAAATCACTATTAGGTTAATTATTACTTGTATCAAATACATCAGCAGAAGCAAATATGTAGCATTTCACTTAATGATCTAGATTGCAATGGTATACATGAAGTGATATATAGGAAGAATTTACTTAATATATAATGTTTTTATTATACAGTTGACCTCCTATAACGCGGTAGATACGTTCCACTTTATAAGAATTTCGCGTTGTAGGAATCTTTAAATATATGAGCCAATCACAGCCCGGCACGTGTGCAGTTTACGGACTACGGCTGTTTGAAAGGTTTTCTTCCATAAAATTAATTGATTCTAGACTAATTTGACTCAACATTTCCAAAACACACACAATTTTTTGGGAATAATCTGTATAAACTATGCTATAAACAAAAATTGTAGGATTACTTACCGAATGTGCACCATTTGATATCGCCATTGCTCAAGCTTGTTTCCGTCACGGAGCAGCGCACCAAACAGCGGGCGAGTTTTCTGATAAGTTATTTTTCTGCGAAAAATTTGTTGAACTTTGGAGTCATCATTAATAGAAATAATTTTTATGGCTGTTGAATAAGAAATGTTTTTTTCACAAGAAATGTATAAAATTACAGTACTGTATTAGACTTACAGTACCTAATTTATATACTGTACAGACGATAGTAAACTCAACTTACCCGCCTAAACTCTCCATAGC